TACCCGTATTGGGTTGAGCACAGTGGTGATGGTTAGCAGGTCTCCCAAAGACAGTTAACTTCCAGAGAACTCTAACCGCCCGGACAGACCACACACAGAATTTTAAACAGCAAACGAGCATTTTCGAGTCCGCTGATCTGTTCCCATTTGTCACTTCAAGTCAGTGAGCAGGGCTGATTCGTTAAAATCGTAACAGTTCGACCCTCGTCGCCGACTTGGTTCACCGTGTACTGCACAGCAAGGTTAGAGGGAGGCGCGGTGACTTTTGTGTGAGTTATTTGGCGTTGTAATAGTCTTACACTGCGTCTACCGTATGCTCTAAGGCACCCACCTCTGACTGCCAGCATGAGTTGGACATAGTTTGTGCCTGAATTTCTCTCATTTCCTCGTCCAGAGGTTGTGGAGGAGCGAACCGAAGTTCGTCAATTGGTGGCTTAGCAAAGGGGATTCCCAGCTACTCGTGAACCTGTCTCGTCACTCCAGTAGAATTTCCCGCTTCGCACATGTTCCCGTAAATTACATAACCTCTTTGACTTCAGTTTTTACCTGACCCTCTAAGTTTGTACGGCAGAGCATTTGAAAGGTCATTGATAAAAATACGAACAGCAGGTTTGTTCCAAACATTTTGAGGGTAGCACTTGCTACAACAGCTTACAAATTGGCATATATGTGTGCATATACATATGTATATGTATACACCTGTAAGGCACTCTAATGTGCTCCCATATCACCGAGCGGACGTTCCTTGATCTGATTGAGGCGTTCGCACCCACCGAGAAGCCGTGCGATTCCACCATTAAGCAGATTGGCGGGCGTGGAAAATAACTTCAAGACTTGAGTGGTTCTTCTCGATTGGGTGTGGAAAAACTTCTTGGGAGGAATCACTGTCATACCTGTTCGGATATACTAACAAATCACACTTGCCACTGACCCTGCGTTTTGCTTTATTAGGCGACAAGCAATGGATAAATTAACCAATTTTGGCCAACATAATAGGTCACAACCACTATATATGGCTGCCTGAATAAGGCATTTACAGTGAGCGTGACCGCTCTTAGAGACAGTTATAATATGCGCGAATAGTTTGTTAAAAAATATCAATACAATTTGTTACCAAACAGGTGGTCTGACAACCGGAGTGTGCTTCATTTTTGAGAGCCATGCACTCAACCAAAAGAATTCCCCCAAAAGGAGCCAATTTCTATCATTGCAGAACGCACAGACTTGATTCAGACAAGGATGTGTTTTGGTGAATAATCTATTCTGTACGAAAACGCCAGCGTTACTCATTATAGATTGGATGTTAGAAGTTAAAGTGTGGCATTGCCCACAAGGAGAGCGGCAATTACCACACGTGGTCTGCTAATCAGCCGCACAATAGCACTGGGCGGGCCTCGGCGAAGTTACATCCACTTTGCCTACGCACACTGATGAACCCCGGCCTGGATGCAACCGTCCGCCGCTCTCGTCATTGAGCGCATTTTAAGGAAACGTCCTCCGCCCTCCGACAAATTAAGTAGCCCGAGACGTTGGAGAGCCAATCTCGGGCTGTGCGAGGACTAGAGCAGGTGTTAGGGTCCGTTGGAGCATGGCCATTGTCCCTAAGAGTGAAATTTTAGCTGTTTAAGAAGCAGTTGAGCCGCTAATGTTCATAATCATATGCCTTCACGTCGAGCCCTAACCCTGGAGGCTTATCGACCCAGTTCCTGACTCGTAGATACATGCTGAGGAGTCCTTACTCAGTGTGTTTTATTCGAAATAAAAATTAATTTATAGTGATTAGTCAGCCTCCCTTCGTCACCTTTCTCTCCCTTCCTACTTCTACCAACTTTCCAAAAAGTACTAATCCAAACAAAAGACGTTACGGCTATTACAGCAGCTCAGCTGTTGGCGGCAAGATGAAAGATGTCTATTTGGATCTTAAGATGAACGTATCCGGCTCGTTTATCTTCAAGGCAGTTATCCTAGATTCTTGCAATTTCAGGTCCACACAGGTAATCTTCTCATATGCGCAAGGTCGTGTTTCCGAGGATGGTAGTATTTCTGCCCTTTAGGTACAATAGTAAGACATCCCAGTGGGAATTAGCGTTACAGGGACGTTGACTGGTCTTCATTGGTTGGAAGGGCTGTCAAAAATGCATGTTAAACTTGACCTGTAAAGAAGCATATTGGTCAACTAGGGGGCCGATTTTCTCAGATTTGACCACCGGGTGGCAACTCGAAACCATCAAAATTACAGGTGTTTGGTTTTCGTGCAGTTTGTAAGACAAATAATGAAATCATCGGAGTTAAATATTGTGCTATCCACTTGATAGATGTAGATTGGCAAAAAAATTATTTCATGTCAGCACGGATGCCCAGAAGCCAAATAAATCTGTATTTCATCCGAATTTTTCGACGAAGGCAATATCACCGTTTTGAACATCCGTCTAGGACGATTCCAGACCGAGTGTCAGGATCGAATTTCGATAAAGAAAGTCGCGTCAAACAGTGGCATTGCATGGTCAGTTATAACTCCATAGGATTTCCCAAACTCGAGCGGTCGGTTAAGAGGCGAATGTATGTGCAGTTATTTTATTCTGGGAACGCCGACCTCCAGAAAGCAAACGAAACTGTGCAAAGACGGAAATAAGGACTCCCCTATCACAGGTTGCCATGCGCTAAATCCTATGGGGTGTTATGGTCGGGGGTAATATTAGAGTCAGAGTCAGCTGGGCCACCTCTAATAAAGGTAAAATGTGGTTATATAGGCCTGCTTGATGGATATAATAATGATGGGGTTGGGGTTAGGATCGGGGTAAGCGGTTATGGCCTAGGGATTAGGGCAACTATTTATCAACCACTCAAAGTACAACCACGCATTCCTAATAGCTTTTCTTTTTCATACAACTACTTGTCCTCGTCACCTGTGCGTTCCCCGACCCCATCTGTAAAAACCCCTATTACCACCGATCGCGTATTAGAGGTGACTGGGTTTTATTTACTTCTGGTGGAGCTACATTACCACATCTGACCCTAGTAAGTGCCATGATGTAAGAGCTTATGGCGTTTTCCTTTCGTACATTTTAATACGATGAGGGCCAGCCGTACAAGCATGGATATCCGGACTAGCAATCAAAGTAGTAGGTTCTGCCAAAAGTGTCATAATCCTCAGACGGGTTCTCAATGTAATTTGTTCTCTCCCTCTCCCCCCACCTACCACGTTGACGTTCATGCCACTCATTCTGACCTCCGCGACTCTGCCGGTCGAGGCGTAACAGTGGATCTGGAACACCGGAACGTCTGAGTGTGGTTCCTATGAACTAAAACGGCAGCGATGAGTAGTGTTACAGGAGCTTTTAATAGAGGGTGTTTGTCACGACCAGATACCTGCTTACATCATTTGGACGGGCTTCATTTAACCCCTCTTTATTTCGCTCTTTCCATGTCACGCCTCCCTTAACCTTTGGCATTCGGCTTAGGGTTAGGTTTAGGGGACTAGGATCAGGTGTAAATGTTCGGAATTAAGATTAGGATTTGGGGTTAGGGTTTGGGCAAGGGTTGGGTTCAAGTGTTAGTGCTAGGATTAAGGGCCATGGTAAACAATTCAAGGTTTGGGTTAGGCCTTAGACATAGCCTTAGGACTAAGGATTAGGCTGTCAACGTTGGCAACCTCAGTTATATCTCCGGCAACGCCATCGTGGGAGTTGAAATTAGCGATATACTCTACACACTTTCTCCTTAAATGTGACTGCTTATCGTGGACTGGGATCAGTTCGTTTGAAATATCTAACCAATGCCCACGGTTTTCATTTTTCTGTCTGTTTACAGCTCCAAACTTCCGCTATTTCAAATTTCGCGCTACAGCTTTACATTTTATTGGCGTGTTTAAACCAGTCGGTGGCGTAAACATGATTTATTTACCGTTGCTTCACGTGAACAGTTGTGTACCCTACCCAATATGACGCCTATTGCAACAGTTCCCTATTACAGGATCCCTTGCCTCCCGTTTTCTCAGTGAGGTTGTTTATCCTATCTTCACCCTAACGACTAAAATTCCTCAATCATCAGACCGAGTATCGATGCAAGTTGCAATTCACCATTGTATAGAAATTTAACTTCGTTTACCTAGGCACGTTCACTCGTAGTAGCAGAAAATTTTTTCAAAACCTACAGGTAATTTTGTTCGCAGGAGTCCACAAGGTGAGCGCTCCCCCCAGGTAAGCTAAATATTGCCTTTTTGTCTTCGCCCGCTCATCGTCTTCATTTAATCAGTAAGCTAGCTCAACGGCCAGACAGCCCAGGGCAATGTGTGCAGTGGAGGAGAGTGCGGTGAGTGTAGGTTGGTGCTTCAGGCACTGGTTCGTCAGTCTATGTGCGATGGATGCGCAAGTGAGCGACCAGGCCGATACGAGAGGTGAATGTGCATGGAGTGTGGGCAGGTGAAGTCGGTGGTGTCTGTGTCAGTTGCGAGAACGGCGGTGGGCGCACAGGGTGACGTGGTGGGTGAGTCGGGATGACGGTCTTTTCCGCTCTCGTCGATGCGCATGTGGCCGAATAGGCCCAAACGATGCGTAAAAGTGCGAGGGCAGTGTAGGCAGCGGAGGCGAGTGCCGTGGGTGTAGGTGGGTGCTCCAGGCAGTGGTTCGCCAGGCTCTGTGCGATGGGTTAACAAGTGACCGAACAGGCCGATGCGTGAGGTTAAGGTGCAGTCGCAGTATGTGCAGGTGTAGTCCGGGATCTCACGTATGGAGTCAGAGGTTGTAGGCGTGGTGTTTGTGGTTCTGTCGGGGGTGTGTGTGGTGTTGTCGTGCGTGACAATCGCCTGAGCGGCCGTCCTTGGGGCAGTACAATGGGAGGAGAAGGAGGTGGGGGAGATGGAGGAGGAGGAGGAGTAGAAGTAGAAGAGGAAGAAGAAGAAGAAGAAGAAGAAGAAGAAGAAGAAGGGGTAGGAGAAGGAGGAGGAGGAGGAGGAGGAGGAGGAGGAGGATTAAAGTGGTGGTGCAGAAGGAGTGTCTGAGTTAGTTGGCGGAAGAGAGGACGAGGAAGAGGCGGGCGGGGGGACGATGGCTGGAGCAGTTCGAGAGGTGCAGTTGATCCGAAGATGTCCAACAAGTCAGATTCGTGCCCGGAATGTCCGTTGACATCTAGGACACGTAGGGAGAGGTTGTGCGGAGGCGTTGCGTACAGGGCCAGATTGTGATTTGCGGGCTTCGCGTTTCGCTTTGGCGGCAGCGATGCGGTTGGCTTCGTAGATAGCAGCGCCCGTCTTCACTTTTCTCCTCCATGTCGGACGATCGCGGGCGAGCTCTTCCCAGTTGGTCGGGTTGATGTGCAGGCGCTTCAGGGAAGACTTCAGGTTATCTTTGTAACGGCGAATTTGGCCTCCTTGACGACGAGAACCCGTCGCGACGTCTCCGTAGAAGAGTCGTTTGGATAGTCGCTCGTCGTCCATGCACACCAGGTGGCCGCTCCAGCGCAGCTGCATTTGTGTCAGTATGGCGTAGATGCTGAGGATTCCTGTTCGTTCCAGTAATTCCGTGTCGGGGATTCGATCCTGCCATTTCAGCCCCAGGATACGACGAAGACAACTGAGATGGAAGTGGTTTAGTCGACGTGCCTGCCTCGTGTACACCGTCCAGGCCTCCGCTCCGTACAATAGCGTCGGCAGGATGACGGCCTTGTACATCTTCAGCTTCGTGCTCAGTTGGAGACCATGACGATTCCAAACTGTGCTTTGGAGGCGACCGAAGGCTTGACTGGCTTTCGAGATCCTGTTGGCGACTTCGTCGTCGATCTTGGTGTTGCGGGAGAGCGTGCTGCCCAGGTACGGGAAGTTCTCCACCACTTGCAGTTGAGTCCCATTCACGTTGATTTGCGGCGCGTTGGGGGCTGTGGCTGAGTTGGGAGGCGGTTGATGCATCACCACCGTCTTCTGCGTGTTGATAACCAGCCCAAAGTTCTCGCAGGCGGCGGAGAATAGGTCCATGCTCCGTTGCATCTCCACTTCCGAGGTGGTGTTCAGGGCGCAGTCGTCGGCGAAGAGGTGTTCGTGCACGGTGGTTGTGGATACGCGCGATTGGTAGTTCATGCGCCGGTGATTCAGGAGATGACCGTCCGTTCTAAGGGCGATGCGGATTCCAGGGCGTTCGTCGCGGTAGGCGTCCATCAGCATGGCAGAGAACATAAGACTGAAGAGGGTAGGCGGCAGCACGCAGCCCTGCTTCACGCCGTTGGTCACTGCGAATGCCTCTGAGACAGCTCCGTTGTCCGTGACTCGCGCCATCATACCGTCGTGCAGCTGACGCACCATCTGAGTGAATCGCTCCGGACAGCCGAATTTCTGCATGATCTTCCACAGTCCTTCACGATTCACCGTGTCGAAGGCTTTCGTCAGGTCCACGAAGGTAGAGTACAGGTGGGTCCGCATCTCCTGGCACTTCTCCTGAAGTTGGCGGCCGGCGAAGATCATATCCGCGGTCCCACGATGACGACGGAAGCCGCATTGGCTTTCCGGCAGAAGGCCCTGTTCCAGATGGTTGTTGAGGCGGTTGAGCAGGATGCGAACGAAGATCTTCCCGGCGATGTTCAGTAGGGAGATGCCGCGGTGGTTGTCGCAGACTTGGCGATTCCCTTTGCGCTTGTATAGGTGCACGATAGTTGCGTCCTTGAAATCTTGCGGGACTTCACCTTGACGCCACATCTCCTGGAAGAGCGCAGTCAGGTGATCCATCAGTAGGGGACCTCCGTGCTTGTAGACCTCAGCAGGGATTGCGTCCGATCCGGGTGCTTTCCCGCTGGAGAGCTGCTGCACGGCCCTGATCGTTTCCTGGAGAGATGGCGGGAGGTCGAGGTCCGCGTTGGTCGCCATATGCGGCAAGCGGGCGATGGCGGCTTCGGAGATGACGGAAGGGCGGTTGAGGACGCCCCGGAAATGCTCGTCCCATCGCTGTAGGATTTGTGTCTTCTCAGTCAGGAGAGTGCTGCCGTCGGCGCTGAGGAGAGGAGCAGTGCCCTTCGTCGGCGGACCGTAGACAGCTTTGATCGCGGAGAAGAAGTTCTTCCAGTCGTTGCGGTCCGCGTAGCCTTGGATCTCCTCAGCTTTGCGAGCAGTCCAGGCGTCCTGCATCTCGCGCAGTCGGTGCTGAAGCTGTCGGCGACTGCGGTAGAAGGCAGTTTTTGTTGTCCTCAGTGGGGTGATCTACGTAGGCTTTGTGTAGGCGGTTCTTCTCAGCAAGCAGATTTTTGATGGCGACGTCGTTGTCGTCGAACCAGTCCTGGTGTTGGCGAGGAGCGCGACCGAGGACGGCGAGTGCCGTCGACAGGACCGTGTCTTACAGTTAACACCAGCGGTTCTCCACGGAGGCGTTCTCGGCAGCGGCGGCGGCGGCGGCGTCGTTGGCGGCGGCAGCGATAGGAAGGTTGTCTAGCCGTTGAGCTAGCTCATTGCTGAAATGGAGATGATGAGCAGGCAAAGACAACAAAGCAACATTCAGCTTACCTGGGGGTCGCTTACTTTGTGGTCTCCTGCGAGGCTGTAGGCGAATACGCATCTTCGAGATGACGAGGCGATGGTCGGTCCACCCGTCAGCACCCGCGATCGCCTTCGTCACCAGCACGTCCCGCTGATCTCGCCTCCGGACGAGGACATAGTCCAGCAGGTGCCACTGACGCGACCGAGGATGCCTCCAGGTGGCCTTCTCACGCGCCGGCAGACAGAAGAACGTATTCGTCAGGGTGAGGCGGTGTTCTGCGCAGGTGCGGAGGAGCAGCAGCAGGCCGTTGTCATTGGAGCCGCGGAGACCGTGAGGACCCAACACTCCCCTCCAGGCAGTATGGTCTGTGCCGACGCGGGCGTTGAAGTCACCAAGGACAATTAACTTGTCCGCCTTCGACACAGTCGCCAAGAGGGCGTGCAGGTCCTCGTAGAATTTGTCTCTGGCGGCGTCGGGGTTGGTCATCGTCGGAGCGTAGGCGCTGATGATGGTGGCGAATTTGCCTCCCCAGAGAGGCAGGCGGAGGCTCATCAGGCGATCGTTGATGCCCTGCGGCAAACAGGGCAGTCGTCCCACGATGTCGTTCCAGATGGCGAAGGCGACGCCCGCGTCTCGTCGCTCTGCCCTGGGTCGACCACTCCAGAAGAAGGTGTAACCGGCACCCACATCCTCAAGTTGGCCTTGTTCGGAGAATCGGGTCTCGCTGAGTGCGGCGATGTCCACCTTGTAGTGCGCCAGTTCTCGTGCCACTAACGCCGTCCTCCGTTCCGGTCGGTTGCTTTTCGGATTGTCTAAAAGGGAACGAACATTCCAGGCTGCCGGAGTGAGCGGGCTCATCGTGCCAGTCTGGTGACAACGATTGGGGCGACGGGAAGGAGATGGAGAAGAAGGTGACGAAGGAGAAGAATAGGCAGAAGAATAGACGGAGGTAGAGGTAGAAGAGGTAGGATGAGGAGAATGAGTATGGTTGTTGTTGTTGTTTCGAGTTTGATTGTTTCGACCGTGAGTTTTGCGTCTGCGACCACGGTGCGCCAGCAGACGACGTGGTTCCCCAGCAATTTTTAGGCCAGCTTTTCCAGGCCCCCCCGAAGGAAGCAGTGCCCTGACCCCTGAATAGGTGCTGCTTGATTTGGCGGCGCGGCCGAACTCCACTTTGGGCCACGAGTTTTTTTGGCAGTGGAAGAACGACTCGAATTTGCCAATGGCTTACGGCATTGCCGCAAGCCTGCGGTCTCCTACGGTGCACCAGTTGGGCGCGTGTCGACGGTGCCAATTCGGAGATCCATCCCACCGGCTGATCAACGGCGTACCAGGCGGAGCCTCGTCTAGACGATGCCGATGCGACGTTCCACCACCAACCGGCTGACCAGCGGTGTGTCAGACAGAGCCTCGTCACGACGGCGCCGACGCGGTGTTCCATCCGACCAACCGTCCACGGAGTCCGC